AGCTCAAGGAGTATCTTCAACAGCATATAATTTCACCAAATATTGGTCACCACATTGCTTGAGCATGAAGCTTTTAAAGAAAATTAAAGTGAAAAAAATAAGATCTGGTATTGGTTATTAACTCTGCCTCAGGGTGACTTCTCTTCAGGGGCGATTAAATATCAGCTCTGGGCTGTTAAGTTTAGTGGCTTTACTTGTAGGTGGCACATTCTACTTCAAGGACAACCTCAACTCACATGGCTTTGATGCTTGATGGTGGTGCTGAGGCAGCCTGTGCAAAGCCAGCTCGTTTTGAAATGGGACAAAGGTCTGTGCTCTGACCTTTCTTCCTTAAGAAACAACTTTTGCATTACCGGGTAAATGCCCTTTCCATGGAATTTCCATGGAACACTGGGGACATCCTGTGGACAGTATGGCTAAAGGCAGCCGTTCTCAGCAAGGCTCTCAGGGAATAAAGAAGGCTCCCCCCCATGAACATCCCGGCTTGCTTCACAAGACCAAAAAGAAAAAAAGAGAAATTGAAAGCATGAGAGAAAGGCAGGAAGAAAGAGAAAAGAAAAATACCACTTTGTTGTTTCCACAATAGAAACAACACTTTTGTGAGCAATGCGATTATTTTCAGTGAGTGTGAGCAGAACAAGACTGGGTGAGAACTGTTTTTGTTTAACTGAGACCAAATACAGCTTTGTGGGCACGAAGGAGGAGGACCGGGTTGCTGGGAGTTGCTCTTCAGCCTGACCTGCTTCTTACCATCTGCTGTTGCAGGGTAGCTGTACTTTGGCTCAACTTCTAGTCCTCACTGGAACCAGGCCTCTGTGAAGGAGCACCCAGCGTGGTTTAACGGGAAAACAGTGGGTATTTTGGCAGTTTTACACCACAGATAGTGCCCCAGTGGCACGAAATTGAAGCCATTTAGTTGTAAATGTGATATTGCACTTGACGGTTTCCCTTGGCAAAGCTCTGAGCCGCCCACATTGAATAGAGACAGAGAAATGGAACTTGGGGAGAAAGCCAGCCACCAGAGAAGCAGACCGAAGGGGCTCATAAATGCATTTGTCAGTCATTTACCATCCTAACTCTGCTCAGCACACCGGCTACCAGGAGCAAGCAGCCTCACTTCCGCGATGGAGAGCAAGCAGTGGAGTTGCTGCTGTTCTTCTGTTTATTAAAAACGGATGGGAGCACTTGACAGAAAAATCAAACTTCTGGTCATGGCTCATTAATCCCTGTTGTATCTGTCAAGGGGATGTGCTCTGAGTTCCAATAAGCCTCTAGAAGTGAGTTCACTTCTAAGCTTGGGCATTTTTCTCTAAATTTGAATGGAGGAAGACACGCCAGTCACCTCCAAGGAGAGACAGACTCTGAACCCACTTTTAACCCACCTAGTAGGATGAAGTGTAAGGAATTTGGTTTAAGAGAAAAGTGATGAAGTTAATACTTTTATTGCTGATATTTGTCACAATGCTCTTTAGGGGAAGTGGGAATGATAGGCTGAGGAGCCTTGCTAGGGTCTGCTGGTGCAGCTTCTGCAGGATGTTTGGTACAACTCTCTGTGCTGGTACTTGACTCTTGCAGACAGATCCTAGAGGGGTACCCTTGCAGACAGCTTGGATGTGCCTGTGGTCAGTCAATCAAGTATAGTCCTGTATCAAATATTCTTTAACATCCTTTTCCAGTTACAGGGATAAGACCCTCCTCAACCCAAATGTTTACAGCAACGCAGAAAACGGGGCCAGCATCTTCTAGGCCCTTTCTTCAGAGCATTTAATGTTTATAAGGAAACAGTTTTTTAAGTCTTTGCTTTGGCTTATTTACAGGTAATAGTAGGGCTAGGGTAAGGGTAGGTTTTCCTGCTCATTCAGGAGTTATGAGACGTCATGCTCCTGAGATTCCCAAAACAGCCCTTCTTTATGTGTGGCAATCTATAGGGCACTTAGCACATTCCTTACAGGGGTGTGTAAGGATTAAATGAAATAATGAGTATATAGTCAGCCCAGAGTGTGTTCTGCCAGAGGCGCACAGGAAGTTACTCTTGCCATTGCTGTTAATACCACCCCATACTGCCATCCATCTCCCAGGAGAGATGTATCTGCTGGAAATGGCCATCTTTCCCCCACAGTGTTCCCAAGCCTCATGCCCCGGGAGCTCTGAGAAGGGAAGGCATTTACAGAAACCTCCTGCCAGTCCTGCTCACTGGCTGGATGACAATTGAACTCGTATGACTCCATTCTGGCCTGGTTGCTGTGACTGATACGGAGAAGTTTGAAATGCTGGCTCTGCACTCAATAAGCATGAATCGAACCCACGTTGGTGCTTACGGGAAATTCTCTCTGTAGGTTAGATATCTTAGGTCAGGGGCTTCAAAGTTAAAATAGGTGAAATCCCCACAGGAAACCCAAGTCTGAGAGGGAGTAACAACTTAGAGGGAAGCAGGGAATCGAACTGAGCACCTGCTATGTATTTGGGTTCAGCATCAGATTAGCTGGAGCCATGCCTCCCAGCACTTCCAGTAGAGACCAGCACTTCTTTGCACATTCCTGGTTCTTGTTTAGAAACACACATGGAGGGTCATTTTTTTTTTCTTTCTGTACCGCTATCGAATTGAAACCACATCTCCTGAGTAGGGAGAACAGTTCAGATAGAAGCCAGAAACACAAACGATCTTTTCTTGCTGTTAGACCCAAACTCCCATAAATCCTTCGGGAAATACTCACTGAGAACCCATAATGGGGAGAATAAACCTGGATGCCAGATCTGGCAGGAGCTAGCTGGGAAGCCTGGCTTCTCCAATAGCACATGTGTGTGTTAAGCATTGAGGAGCTTGGATGCTTCACTAACCCTAGGTAAAGCAACAGAATTAAAGTCACTATAGTGGCTTAAATTTGTGTTGAATACAGGCCCCAGCGTCCATGTGCTGGAGGCTCAATGGCTAGCTAGTATGGTAGAATATGGTGATAAATCTTTGAAGTGGAGCCCATAACGAGAGGCAGTTAGGACACAGCACCACTACTGTTGGAAGGAGTAACACTCATCCTAGGGGAGAGTTACTTCTCTAGAAATCAGGCTGTTATAAAGCAAGATCACATGTGCACTTGGCTCTTTTCCTTTCCCTGCCAGGGTCCGATGAAGCCAGGACATTCACCAGCAGCAGCCAGATAGATAGAAACACTTTATCACAGACTTCCGGCTTTCAAAGATATGAGCTAGGTAAACCTCCTTTCCGAACAAATTACCCCGTATCATGTACACTACTATAATAACAAAAATACATGTAAACATCCACCCAAACAAGACAAGCTCTCTTGAGGACAGTCGGGGTGGGGGGAGGCTCTTTCTGAACTAAGAGATTTCTTTTTTTAACTGGACCTTGGAGGACCGTTAGTGTGACAGAAATGCCTACCACAGTACATTCCCAGTGGAGGACTTAGCAGAGCAGGGGCCAGGGGTCAGCCCATTATGGCATCTATACAGGAAGGAGTATTAATCAACTTACAAAGAACCCTCCAGAAATCTCAGCTTGGGAAAGACAAAACGAAATGTTCCAAGGAATGCTTTGAGTGGGTACTTCAGTTCTTCCAATCATGTCAAAACCAGTTTATTTTCCTGTGAAGAGGTACATCAAGATTTGGGAATCTAATTTACACTGTGGGTTATTTATTTATTTATTTATATTAGAACTCAACTCTGTTTATCCCTCCCTTTTGCACTGGGCCAGGCCACGTGAATCTGGGGTCCATGGGCAACGGTTCCATAAAAGGAGCACCACAGCTGTGAGCTGTATTTTCTATTTTTATTAGCATTTCTTATTTGCCCACAGCCTGATTTCTTTTGGGCTTGACATAATTTGCATGATTGAGTTAATCCAAGTGTGAAATGCAGTAGAGACCCGATTCAATGGGTGGCCGGAAAGCAGCATGATTGGGACATAAAAGAGATGGAGCAAGGCTCCTGCCCCACAATGCCAGGTGCAGACACACCACAATGAGGGACCCAAACTGATCCGCAGGACTGGACAGTACTCCAAGAGCGAGCTGACTGCACTGGGCAGGGGAATGCCATTTTTCAAGGCCCCTCTCCAAATATTTCCCAGTGTAGGTTTGATGTTTGAAATGAGCAAAGCAATGGCATCCAGGTGGTATCAAAATTCTGTAGCCCAAAACCTATGGCACTCTTTATAAAAGAGAGATTTCCACACATTGTGTATCTAGGCATGCATATCTATTTACACATATACCTCTTCTCTTGAAATTCATTTAGTCTCATGGAAAAGCAGCACAGAATATTTCTATTGTACCATCTTCCACTTTCCCTAATGCTAACATCATACATACATCACAACACAAGGATCAAGACTGAGACATTAAAACAAATGCACTACTATTGTATAAACTATCGATCAGAGAAAAATTCGGAGTTATCCTAAATTAGATTACAAGGTCCAAGAGTGTTTGGTGATGAAAAGAGATGAGGAAGATTAACCGCCAGGAGGAGCTGGATGATATGCTTGTAATCTCAGCATAAGGCAGGAGGATTGTGAATTTGATTCCAGTTTAGGCTATACAGAGACCTTGTCTCAAAATCAAACCAAAACAAACAAATACCACTCTATTTGCTATGAGGCAACAACAGCAACAGCAAACTCTTTCACATCCCCAAATGTTGTAAAAAGCCTTGACCAAAATCTTATCATGAACCTCTAGGCACCACCATACCCTGCTCACAGCCAGTAAACAAGTACCTTTGACATATACTGACTGCCTGGCTGCCTTCCCATTCCAAAATGTCTCATTATCAGAGTTGTCCTACCGGTCTAATACGTAGCCACAGTAGTTTGACATAAGGGACTTACACTTTCCTTCCCCTGCCTTTTTTTTTTAAAAAAAAATGGAAACATTCTTCACTCTAAGTGTCCTTTTCTGATTAGCAAATGTAACAACTCAAAGCATCCAACTCAAGATCAATTGATTGGGCACTGGGGAGATAGATCAGTCAGTGCTTACCATTTGTGCTTGCTTAGTGACCTGAGCTCAGCCCTCAGAAGCCGTGTGCAATAGTTGGTCATGGTACTGCTTGCTTCTAGTCCAAACACTGGGGAGACAGAGACAGGATGGGGGTTAATGCTGAAAGATCAGGGAAGCAGAGCAGCCAACCACTAATTCTTACCTCTACCGAATCCTCAGACAAAGGAGCAATCCTGTCCCTATAAATCCTCAGACTGAATGCTCTGAGCTCCTGTCTCCTCCAACTTTATATTCCTCTATCCGCCCAGCCATATCACTCCTGTCTCCACCTCCCTAGTGCTGGAATTAAAGGCATGTAATCGGAAGTGCTGGGATCGAAGAAGATGTGAGCTCTATTTTCTTTTAGACTGGATCAATATCGTGTAGCCTCAGTATGGCCTTGAACTCCTGATCTTACTGCTTCTACCTCCCAAGTGCTGGGATCAAAGGTGTGTGCCATTACTGCCTGGCCTCTTTGGTTAACTAGTGGCTAGCTCCACCCTCTGGTCTTCAGGCAAGCTTTATGTGTTAGATCACAAACAAAATATCACCACAATCCTTAGGCTAGAATAAGCAGCAACTTCCAGACCAGTGACAGACCCTGTCTTGACAAAAGGAAAAAGCAGGTCTAGGGCTCCTGACCTAAAACTGACACTGACCTCTGAACTCTGAACACGAAAGCATATATGCAAGTGCCTCGTCCACCCGTGAGCAACCTATCTGCTTCGTCGATACACACTTCATCCAGCTGACCCCAGTTTTCCTAATAATGTTACTGAATCCATTTTGGGAGAGATATTTCACTCTACTCATTGCGATAATTACTTTCAAGCACAGAATGTGTCCTTTCAAAATTTTAAGTTGTAAAAATTTATGAGTATGTATACCACCAGAGGCCATAGAGGCCAGAAGAGGAAGTTGGAGCCATAGGCCTACTTCCTGGTATGAGTGCTGGGAACCAAACTCAGGTCCTCTGGAAGAGCAGTGTCCTAGTTTGATTACTTTGTTTTTTGTTTTGTTTGGTTTTGGTTTTGGTTTTGGTTTTTAATGATAAAATACTAATGACCAAAGGCAACTTGGAAAGGAAAGGGATTATTCTGCTTACACTTCCACACTATGGTCTACCATTGAGGGAATTCAAACAAACACACTGGGCAAGAACTGGAAGCAGGAACTGAAGCAGAGACTATGGAGGAACACTTAACTGGCTTGCTGCTCAGGCTTATGGCCAGCTACCTGTCTTATCCCTCCCAAGCGTGGCACTGCTCACCATGGGCTGGACCCTCTCACACCAATTGTTACTTAAGGAGACACCCCCTGCAGACTTGTCTGCATGCCAATCTGATGGGGACATTTTCTCAGTGGAGGTTCCTCCTCCCAGATAACCCTGGCTTATGTGAAGTTGACATGAGACTAACCAGAGCAAGCCACAAGTGCTCTTAACTGATCCCTCTAACGCCCCTCCCCCAATCACATTTCCCACACAGCCAGCTAGGCAGAGCCCCTGCACTGGCACTGTCCCCAGCCTTGGCTGCCCAGTAGTTTCTGAACCATCGAAAAGGCCACAGTGCTGGAGCACTGGTGAGTCTATGAACAGCCAGCTGATTTCGGCTGTGAGAGCAGCTGCCCTCAGAGATGTTCAGTCTCTAAGGGTTTCATGAGGATGTTCAATCCACAGCATTAGGTCCCGAAAGTCCCCTTCATCATGAAACATACAGTCTGTTAGATTGTCAATAGTAATTAGCCCCAATAATTGCATTGTTTTGTTTTGGAAATCCAAGTTAAAAAAAACTTATGTTGCTTATGTTTTTAGAAATCATATCACAAATTTCACATCTAACAATCTTTAAGTATTGTTATCTATAAGCTATATCTCAGTTACATCAAGAAATAAATGACAACATGCTTCATTTACTCTGAAGTTAAAATAAAGAAAAAAGAATATTTTATTAATTAATTTGGATAATTAATTGATACGACACCTCATCCTGGGACAGTGAATATACATACATTTGGAGGGCTGAAGAAATGACTGATTTGGTAAGTCCTTGCGGCCACATCATGAAAACTTGAGTTCTGTCCCCAACACTCATCTAAATGCTGTTCACAGACAATCCCAGGAAGAGCACTATACATGAATAATCCCTGGAATACCTCTGTACCCAGATAATCCCAGGTCCAGGGAGGCAGACAGAAAGCTCCCTGGGCTCCCTGGGCTCCCTGGGCTCCCTGGGCTCCCTGGCCAGCCAGTCTAGCTGAGTCAGCAGATCTCAATAATAATAATAATAATAATAATAATAATAATAATAATAATAATGGTGATGATTATAGTAAATCATACAAGGTGGAGGGAAAAGGGTGGTGGGTAGGATCATATTTCATTGTATTACACACATGAAATTCTTAAATGATTAAAAGCTAAGGTGGGAAAGAGGGACTGGGGGGCTCGCTACACCTTACTGCTGAGCCACTGGCTGCTAATAGATTTAGAGAGAAGAGAGTCATTTCCTTAGTTGTGTAACCACTGGTGACTCCAGCAGTCTCCAGTACTTAGTCCCAATCCAATGCCCACACAGATGGCCCTGGTTAAACTAAACCACAAGTCATGAATCTAGGAAAGGGGGATAGGTAGGGAGAAGTGGGGAGACTGGCAAGGATGGAGAGAGAAAAGAGAGGGTATGGAGAGAGAGTTATCAGGATGAATCATATATCTGTTTGAAACTGTCAAGGACCAAATCTAATTTAAAAAATTAAAACCCGGATAGAGAGTAATTGAAGAGAACACTTAGCCTCAATCTCTGGCCTCTATACACAGATGCACACACATGCATGAACATGTACACACACACACACACACACACACACACACACACACACACACACGGATGAGTTCTATCTTTTCAACACTGACCGGCTGTATGTGTACAACATGAGGCACTCTGCAGACCAAAGGAAACCACTGGAGGGGAACGCGCAAACTCATTACTGTCATTGCGTTCTTGCTAACCAGTTTGCTCATTTCCAGGCAAGAGGCAAATACAATTTTAAACTTTGCAGTATTTATCTAAGAATGAAAGTGTGTTAAGCCCATAGCATGGAGGAGACCCATGCAGGGAGTGGACAGCAAATCCGAGGACTCCTTAGCAGTCTGTCTTAGTCTGTTTTCCTTTGTAATAACTGAATACCACAGCTTGGGAATTTATGAAAGAAAGATTAGTTGATTTCGTTCGTAGTTCTGCTTCACGCTACCATGGTGCTATCATCTGGTCCATACCTGGTGAGCACCTTCCTGTTGCATCCCGGTGTGAGGAGGCTATCCAATGGTGCAATGGAGAAAGCATGCTAGCTTGGGTTTCTCTCTTCTTACAAAGGCACAGCCATTGCATTAGGGTCCCACTCTCCTGACCTCAGGTAACTTCAGTGCATCTTCATACAGGATACTTCAATTGAGACACCACCCTCTTAATGCTTTACAGTAAGGAATCTATTCCAACGTGAGGTTTGGTGGGGCCACTGAAGCCATGTGATCCGGAGTTACTCTCAAGTACTAGATAGATGACCAGCTGAGGACTCAGACTGTTTCAAACCTTTGGACATTGCAATACAATATGGTCACCCACAAATTTCATGCTCCCAGACTGAAGTTGAGTTAGAGTGATGACAATGATGTTGGTGACCTCACACTTGTTTACCCAAGTGTAATGTTTTGAGTTGGACCACATTCACTGGTATCCCAAGGTGCATGTGACCCTCAGGATCCATGTGGACTGATCTAGATTAAAGACATAGGTATTCTAAGACTTTTAAAAACCTTTAAAAGTATGAACAATGCAGTGTTTCACACTAGGTTGGGGAAATATTCATGAAGAGGACTCACAACATGGAGCCCTGTAGTAGGTAAGGGAGCAGAGTTGGACATTTTCTAAAAAAAAAAAAAACAACCTTCAAAACCTTCAACTACATAAACTTCTTCTCTGAAGCCATAGGTTATTAAAGAAAAATTCTCATGCCAGGGGTAAGCTACCTTCCTACAAGCTGTTGATCAAGAGACTTAAGGCTGCTGACACTGCTGTTGCCCATCGGAACTAGATGGTGAGGCTCTGCTGCTAAGCCAGTGCATGCTTTAATTGTGGGAACTGGGCTGGAAGCTTCTTCCTTGCTGGCTATACCCATTGTGCCAGAGGATACTCTGCAGGCTGCTAGGGAGATTTGTCATCAACAATCTCATTCATCTGTGGGCCTTATGTGCTACACTACTGGCCAGAAAAAAAAAAAGTGTCTGTTGGTGAAACAGTGGCAAATCTATTTCTTATTGGATTTAAGGCCTGATCCCTGGAAGGTCTCCATGTATGATACTATAAACCTGGTGGAAAGCCCACAGCTAGAGAATTCATGAGCCCTAGAGGGAAGCTACTGATGCTGTCTTGCCAAACAGACCGCAACGTGCCTGTCAAATCACCTTCTATAATAACGGAGTTTGTGCCCTTACATCAGTGCTTACTCTCAGCTTTGCGATGGACAATGGTAATTTCAGAGACTTACAGCTGGGCAAACAGATGGGAATAAGTGGTTGTTACTAAACGCTCACCTCCAAATGGTGTATCTGCACCACCTCCTCCAAGCTCAGGGAGATCATAGAATGTAAAAGTTGGAAGAAGAGGGGGTGTGTTGGGAATATTGTCCTCTAAAGTTGGGATGGCAGTTGCACTCCTGAACTCACAGCGATGAATACCTGTGCAAGATTGGGCCCATCAGAATCCTACACAGTAGGGGAGGTTCTCTAAGCAGTTACTAGCTGCCAGAGGAGGGAGAGAAGTTTGTAGCATAGCCTCTGATAAGGTGCCTATGCTCTTGTAAATAACTCCACACCCATGCTCCCACTGGGTCATAAGACAAAAGATATGAAGGTGGAAGGAGGACCAGCTAGGAAAGAATAAGGACAACAGTAGGAATAGGAGAGGGAGAAGACAGGTTACTAGGACAGAATATGATCAATGTGTACTATGTATGTAGAAGAAAATATTATAATGGATCCATTATCAGATAACTATGCAGAATACATAATAAAAACATTTAAAAGTTACTACGTTGAA